GAAGTGGAGATGAATGCTAATACAAGTAGGGGAGGTGCGGTATGGGAATTTATTTATCGCGTAGTTGCAGTATTGGAGTAGGAATGTATGTTCGCTTTCCTCAGCTGAGCTCAGGAGTTTCCTATACAGTGTTGGAGTAGAAATTTATGTTTGCTTTCCTCAGCTGAGCTCAGGAGTTTCCTATACAGTGTTGGAGTAGGAATATATGTAATCGCTGTCCTCAGCTGCTGAGCTCAGGAGTTTCCTATACAGTGTTGGAGTAGGAATATATGTAATCGCTTTCCTCAGCTGCTGAGCTCAGGAGTTTCCTATACAGTGTTGGAGTAGGAATATATGTAATCGCTTTCCTCAGCTGCTGAGCTCAGGAGTTTCCTATACAGTGTTGGAGTAGGAATATATGTAATCGCTGTCCTCAGCTGCTGAGCTCAGGAGTTTCCTATACAGTGTTGGAGTAGGAATATATGTAATCGCTTTCCTCAGCTGAGCTCAGGAGTTTCCTATACAGTGTTGGAGTAGGAATGTATGTTCGCTTTCCTCAGCTACTGAGCTCAGGAGTTTCCTATACAGTGTTGGAGTAGGAATATATGTAATCGCTTTCCTCGGCTGCTGAGCTCAGGAGTTTCCTATACAGCGTTGGAGTAGGAATATATGTTTGCTCTCCTCAGCTACTGAGCTCAGGAGTTTCCAAAGCTAATTATAGAATTAGGGTAGAAGTGTATAGATGCCAATAAAAAATTCTTGGAAAATTGCTCGAAATTTTCATATTGTCATCAACACATGTAGCTGACGTTTGTTTTCCTCAGCTACTGAGCTTAGGAATTTCCAAAGCTTATAATAGAACTAGGGTAGAAGTGTACAGAAAACCAATAAGTATTTTCATAATTTTCATATGTAGTTCCTCTGGAGCACCTCATCGGAATATACGACATTTCAAGACCACTTACTGTGGACGATTTGCCTCCTAGTTGGACTAGTCCTGCAGTGATAACAAGAAAACGGTAGTAGAAGCTTAGAAGTATATTGGACTTTCACGGGCGGCGCTAGTGATATGAAAAACACTAGTGAAAAATATATTCCACGAAAACCGCGTTTCTCACCGAGTTTTACGACGCCACTTCACGTATAACGGGTGAAACGCTATTATTATATCAGCGAAAATTCGTCCGAAAATTTGAATTTTAAAATTGAGATTTGTGAGGAATATGTATTTGATTTCCTCAACTGAGCTCGGGAAAAAATCTACATGAAATCTTGGGTAAAAATGTGGAAAAAGCATCGAAAATTTTAGGAAATTTCCTGAAAATTTTATCATATTTTTACCAACACTTGTGTATATATGTATGCAGATATGCTACACGATTCTGTGATGGAGTTTTTTCTACAAAAATTTTCCGAAATTTCCGGAAAATTTTTCATCATCTTCTTACCAACACATTATGCAGATATGCTGCACGATTCTGTGATAGGGGAGTTAAAATAGAGAAATACTTGAAAGCGACTTTGGAGGAATTCTCAGTGGGTTCACAGCCTGATGGTATGGTGCAAAGGTAGGTTGATAAATTTAGTGACAGTTCTGTAAAACGTAAATTACGGGCGAAAAATAGCTTTTTTCGCCGCACGTGTTAATACGATTTTTCAGTGGTGATATTAGCTGTTCTTATTTGTTGATCATTTATCATTGGAGTTTCACCCTAGTGATATGAAAAATATATTTCACGACTACTGCATATCACCGCGAACAATATCGCGTTTTACACCACTTCACGTAAAACGGGTTGTTAAACTCCAACCTTTTTTACATGTTTATGTTGCTTACCAACTTGTTGTCACAAATTGAATTTCATCAGGGTGACACGATTTAAGGATATGAGGATGCGTATACCAGTGATGATAACAGAGATATTCAAACAACGAAAAGATTCCTTGCAAACGCGAGTCAAGTAAGGGGAGGAAAATTGTGAGAAAATTCGGGGAAATTTTTGGTACCCGAGTAAAATTTGTAGATTTGGAAACTTGTGAGCTCAGCTGAGGAGAGCGAGAATTTATTCCCACAACGCTTTGGTGATAATATGAAAATTCTGAGGAATTTTTTTATTTGTTTTTGTAGACTTGTATTAGAATTTTGAGCTTAGGTGAGGAAAGGGAAAATATATTTCTTATAAAACTTCCTCAGTTGGTGAAAGGATCATAAATGTTTTACTTGCAGGTATCTGGGTGACGCTGCAATTCGCGAGGAATTTGGCCATGGACGTTCGAGTGCACTAAAAGTGAGAAACATATATGAAAACAACAATGGAGTTTCACCACCCTAGTGATATGAAAAACACTAGTGAAAAACATATTTTACGACTACTACATATCACCGCGAATTAATATCGCGTTTCTCGCCGAGTTTTACGCCACTTTACGTAAAACTGGTGAAACTCCAATGATATACATATTAATAATATTAATGTTAATTATTATTCTAATACCATTTCATATAGTTAAATGGAGTTTCACCACCCTAGTGATGTGAAAAACACTAGTGAAAAACACATTTCACATTTCGCGAAAAACGGGTGAAATTTCATTATTATATACAATAAAACACAACATGAAAACTGCGAGGAAATTTTTTGGGAAAATTCTCGTTAGCGTTTGTACTTTTGTCGTGTTTTTCCACAAACCATCAGCTAAGGAAATTATCAGCTAAGGAAAGCGAACTCTTTTTGCAGCTCTGAAAATTGAGGTTATTTAAGTGGAAGTTGGAAAATGTGCACATGGTCAACTACATGTGTTGGTGACGATTTTTGTGGAAATTATCAGTAGCTTTTGTACATTTTCACCCGAATTCGTGTATAAACTCGTATAGTTAGCTTTGGAAACTCCTGAGCTCAGCAGCTGAGGAAGGCGATTACATATATTCCTACTCCAACACTGTATAGGAAACTCCTGAGCTCAGTAGCTGAGGAAAGCGATTACATATATTCCTACTCCAACACTGTATAGGAAACTCCTGAGCTCAGTAGCTGAGGAAAGCAAATACATATATTCCTACTCCAACACTGTATAGGAAACTCCTGAGCTCAGCTGAGGAAAGCAAATACATATATTCCTACTCCAACACTGTATAGGAAACTCCTGAGCTCAGCTGAGGAAAGCGATTACATAGATTCCTACTCCAACACTAGAGTTTCACCCATTTTACGTGAAGTGGCGTAATATTTCGTGAAAACGCGATACTATTCGCGGTGATATACAGTAGTCGTGAAATATGTTTTTTTTTCTCATATCGCGGTTCGTGTGACTCGACTGATATTATTTTCACAGGTTTTGGTCAACATAGATGAGCGCGTGAGAATTATGGAGTATTATCACGAGGGGAGAGCAGATAGGTTGCAAAGAACTGTTGAGAAAATTGGGGAAAAAATTAAAGTGAAATTTTTTTCCGGAGAAAAAAAATTATTATTTTTTCCTCATAGGAGTATTTTATCGATCGCGATGATATGTTGGAGTATCACTCAGTGAAATTAGACCGTGAACTGATGGGAAGTGTGGTGGGCAAAAGTCTACCGAGTTTACCGATTGGTGAGTACGTTAATGGTGAGTTGGTTAGCGATGGAACGGTTTTTAGAGAGTATTGGAAATGTACCGATGACGAGGATTTCACACAAGTATCGAGCTCCTGAATATGTGGTGAATGAAAAAACGTGTGGAATTACAGAGTTGTGCAGTAAGAAAGTCGGGTTTTATTATCGCGGGGCGATGTTGGTTGGAGTTTCACCCGTTTCACGTGAAGTAGCGTTGTACTCCATGTGAAAAACGCGACATGTAATATTCGCTGCTCAGATGCATTTTTCGCAAAGTGAAATATGAAGTGGTTTTTCATATCGCGGGTGAAACTTCATTATATTCATCAATAGCTTCTGAATATATAAGTGAAATTTTCGATGGACTCTCACGTCCCGTTTCACTTGAAGTGGCGTAATACTCGGTGAAAAACGCGGAATTTTTGATAAGAAGTGGATGAGTTACAGAGTTGCTCAGGATGGATGAAAATATAAAATAGATAGAATTATTTATGGGAGCCTCTAGGTGTCACGAGGTGCATATGAATCACGTAGTTCGGTAGCTAGTGGGTATATAGTTGTGGAATATCTGATGGAGTTTTACGTGCATGTGAAATTATGCGAAGTATGGGGAAAAACGGAGTTGCCCAGTAAAAACGGTGGAGTGAATTTGAGTTGGTGTCGATATAATTGGGTCTAGTTGAATATTCGCAGTGAATCACGAACGTCCTTGGAATCGAACTCACGTCCTGGTGGTTAGTAAATGAGCGCTTTACCACCGAGCTATAGAGGTTATTTTTTGTCAGGTAAGATTGTGTTTCACCTCCCTAAGAAGTGTATTCGCATTACTTATCACCGTCCGGAAGGACGACTGATGGGCCAACAGTTGACTTTTTATAAAACTCCTGACGGGCAGTCTCTGACGTAGGTCTTGTTCGGTGGAGTTTCGTATATATACTTTATTATATGAATATTTAATTATAATGTGTATTAATGGAGTTATTAATTTTATAACTATTATATTGGAGTTTCCCGGGCGGCCCTAGTGATATGAAAAACACTAGTGATAAATGTATTTCACGACTACTGCATATCACCGCGAATAATATCGCGTTTTTCACATGGAGTATTACGCCACTTCGCGTAAAACGAGTGAAACTCCAGTGATCAACTTTTTGGAAAATAAAGATATGTAGAAATGTTTTCTTTTAATTTTCACTCTTATATTTTAATCGTTGACTCTCCCCCCTACGAAACCAAACTCATCGATTGAGCGACTCTCAGGAATTCCCCATTGGCACGATTTCGCGGTAGCATGTTTTCGCTTTAGCGAATACAACATCGTTTCTCTGCAGGTCATGTTTGTTTGTTTCACTGCTTGTGATCAGTGAATGTTTTACTCGTCGTGAGTTCGTTTGTATAATTCTGTTTCCATAAAAAATCTCCGTAATGATTGTGGTTTTTTCGTACTTGGTAGATTGGATAAGCTCAGTCGCATTGGAGCCGGGGATGATATCAAACTGCCGACACCTATGCAGTTGTTGCAATTGTTAAAACTCGAGAAAACGGCTAAGCATAACTTCATTGAGACTACTAATCAAAGTGAGATGGCTAGATTCTAGTTATACCGTTCCTCGCTGAATTTTCTAATGGATTCGCGTTATTTTGTATAGAAGAATTGTTGTTGTATATACGCTGTATTTTTTCCTGTAGAAGGTATTGAAAATTTTAGCAAATTTTTTGTGACCATTTTTCAACTTTTATGTTATATGATTACATGATATCGCATGTAGAAGTGAAATGCGCGCGAGTGGTTCACATGTATTTGGCAGGAGCAGGAGTGCAGCGTCGAGGGTGGTCAACTAAGATGGGGTTAAAATTTCTATAGAATTTCACGTACGAGTAAAAGAAGTATACCAGAGGTGTTTGGCGAAAAAAGTATCTCAAAATTCGATGCAGTTGATGATAAATCGACCCGACAAGAATTCAAAAAATGTGAAAAAGTATAAATATGCAATAAAATTAAGCAGCGTTGTAAAAAAAGCGCATAAATATTGACGTAAAATGACTAGGAAATGTTCGTTGTAGTTACTTCTGAGATGGTATTACGTCGTAAAGAGGAAAACAAAGTGAAAAATGTGAGATTAATGAGTCAAAATGAAGGAGTTCAGAAAGGTAGAGTAGCGTTGATATCCTTATTGTGAAAGTCTGGACTCAGCGAGTGCAGCTGCGGCGATAGCAGATTTTGCTGGTCCACCGGTTGATGTTGGAAAAAGTGCTCATAACAAGGGAGGAGATACTGTGGCTTCTCAGCGAAATTTGGTAAGTTTAACGTCATCATTTTTTATGAATTTCGGGAATGTTGTAGACAATACAATGTCGTGGTCGGTTTCTGTTTTACTGGGGGAACGCAAGGTAGTGTGCATAAGGAAAAGTAACAACACATATTCGGGACTCTCACCCAATAAGCGATCCTTTAGCTCGCTATGTAGCTACGGATAAAAAGATACAATAACACAATTAGAGCGAATCTTCACATTACAAGAAGAGAAATTCATAGTGAAGGAAGATCAGTCTGCGAATGGTATGAACGCAGTTCAGTTGCATTAGATGTGATATGGTGTTTATATATAGTTGAATAGAGTTTCACCCTAGTGATATGAAAAACACTAGTGAGAAACATATTTCACGTCTTCTA